TAATTTTTAAATTTACATTGCAGGCCATTGTTCCTGTTCAGCCATTTAAATCTATGATTGGCATAGTGTGAATGTCAACACTTTCCTCAATTCAACCGTGAAATCCTAGGTACAAAATAAGTGTATTAGCTTTGCGCTTCAGCTAAAACTATCATTTGGTGATCTTATTTTTCATATTGTTTACACAATCAATTCATGTCTTTTTGTGTTTTTTTCATCAGAGGTTGTACCCACAGCTACTGTGATAAGAGTCAGTGATAAAAGACCTGTCAAGGTAAGGACTGATAAGACGATTTGCATAAAATTAGCATGACAATGACAATATTTTCACATGTTGAATGGCAAGTTGAAAAAATAAATAATGCTTTTTTTTGAGTGCCTTTCTTCCAATTTGCTGAGTGGTCTTTGTTTCCTACAAAAATACAAGTAACATCACCTGACTAATTTACAGTATGATGCCTAAATTCAAAACTGAATTTTTGCTGGAATGTTTTGAATGTTTGGGCTCAAAAATATAACAGTTGCCCAAAGTTTCTGACCTTGGGCTTCAATTATTTAAAATTAGTTGCCCAACTAGTCTACTGTAATATCTGTATTAGAAATCACAGCTTCTATTAAAACGGTACAGTGCAAAAAGGGGGTTGCATCTTCTATTAGAGCATCTACGCATGAGAGAAATGGTGATTTTTGTTCTCAATTGTTGAAAAGAGAATGGGTGTGGCTTCTATTAGAGATGTATCTTTCTAATACACATTTTTGCAGTACTATAAATTTGCTAATCAAACTTGTTCTGTTGATTTAATCTTTAAAAAAATTTTTAACAACAAAATTTATATCATTCATAAGATTTAAAGTTAGTCAGTTGTATCTTTTATCCATAACTTCAACAACTAGCAAATGTAGACTACTAAGAAATACTATGGATTACTCGTTTTTTAAACGGTAGTCCACATAGGCTTCCAAATAAAATAATTTGTCAAGCCCTGGATCTTGTGGTTCAAGTGCATTCACAACTACTAAAATTTCACAATAATTTCTTCCCCAAATAAATCCAACAATTTTCACTACTACAAAATATCACAATTTTAGCTTACGAATAAATCCTCTCAGTTTAAATTATTCGTATGTTACTGAAAATTATAATTGACCTTATTTCTGTCAGTCTGCATTGTTTATATGGGTTATTGTTTATCAGTAACATATGCCCTTACCTAAATTACAGATGTGTCTGGTCAAAATAAGTTTTATTTTAATAATGCAGTATACAATAAATACAATATTGGTTTATGTGCAATTCTATTGCAGATGTGCTTTTAAAATAAAGCAAATAGGGTAACCATTAGAAATTGTGTGTGGGTGGGATCTGCACTAAGTACAGGAAAAAAAATACATTTTTAAAAATAATTTGAAAAAAATAACAGAAGAAAAAAAACATTATTTTCCACACCAATATTATATTGTATATGTGAAGGAAAATAATTTTCATGTTTTTTTTTTTCCATCTCCACTCCCAGAGATTCTAATGGTTAAACCCTTAGCTCAATGCTCCACGTCACATTTCTATAACAGTGCAATACAGTGTACAACACTTGTAAAATGCATTGTTTGTAAAGGTACTCAGTGTGATGACTGTCGTGTTTTAAATTATATATACCGCAGGTACAATTAATTACAGTTTAATGACACTTTCCCAATACTGCTCTGAAAATTCAGTATTCCTCCTTTGTTAGATGAATGCTGGTTTTGTCTAGGTAGGATAGTGTTTGGAAAATATTTTACATTTTCATATAACAGTTATTGAATATTATCACTTCCAGGTTGCTGATTTCAGTGATGTGACTAACTGGCCAACACCGAGTGAACTTCAACAGGAAGTGTCAAAAGATAAAGAGGTGAGTTTGAAACGTGGATTGTCTGTCTGTCTGTCTGTC